ACTCAGTAAACCAGAGTAGCTCTGAACACCCCTACTTTTCCAAGAGTGTGTTATTCTGAAACATACTAATAAGTGTAAATGGTGCTTTTGAACTTGGTGCTCATTGTCGAGTCATGCAGCCTCAACAGCTAAATTTGTGTCGGTGGTTCCACTTAGTAGTACCACACTTTGGTATCCAGTTGTACATGAGAGCCACACGTGAAGGTGTGGTTAGAACCAGATGTCATTGTTTTTCTGTGTGACTGGATCCATGTGTAGCTATGCGTCAATCGGCCCACCATAACATTGTGATCATGTCAGTCTGTTACTTTGGACTGTCCACCTGTAAGCTTTGACAACTCCCATGCGTGACTGATGGAAGTCTTGTATTGTGGATGATAACCTGTCTGCAACCATAGGCGAGGTCTGTGTCTGTTGGAGACCAGGTCTGTCTGTATCTCTATGGCGAGGTTTGTCTGCTATGGGTCTGTACCAGATAGCGGCTCCTCGAATGTAGCCAAGGTGGCGAGGTTCGTCTGTAATTTTAAACCTTGGTCCAATTGTAATGATTCGACCGGATCTATCTGTTTGCTTGTGACCGGGTCCGCCTTTTATCACAAGGCCAAGTCTGCCTTTAACTGTCGCCGCTGCATCCGTTTGTAACTGCGTGACCTGTTGGGCCCGCACATGTGTGATAAATCCTATAAAGTATTTGCGTCATTGCCGTCCTTCCCGAAAAGCTCAGTTGGTAGACCACTGGACTATCAATCAAGAAAACCGTGATCAAATCCCAGCAATTTCAAGGAGAAAATTCGGGTTGCTCCGGAATTCAGGTCTTTATAACACCTGACTTGGCGGGAGGGCTAACCTGGCCCAAACGTGTAGGTCTTGACACGCCAGGCTAGGATGATAGTCTGAACTATTGTTCCATCCGCGACACATATAGTAGCTTGTGAACGACGTGGCGAGCTGGCTTGTAACAGTATGTTCACGTCCGTCCGCGTGTGACGGTGTGATGGAGCCCCTCTGCAGCTGTTGTGACGCGTTCCACCTGAAACTGGGTGACGCGTTCCATCTGAAGCTGTGCGACGCGTTCCGTCTTAAGCTGGGTGACGCGTTCCATCTGAAGCTGGCTGACGCGTTCCATCTGAAACTCATTCTATCTGAAGCTGGGTGACGCGTTCCATCTGAAGCTGGGTGACGCGTTCCATCTGAAGCTGGATGACGCGTTCCATCTGAAACTCGTTCTATCTGAAGCTGGGTGACGCGTTCCATCTGAAGCTGGGTGACGGGTTCGGTCTGTCTGGCAGGATGCCCGGCGAACGCGAGCGGCGAGCCGTCTCTCCTGCAGTGCAACGGACCCTCCGGACCATCCTGCAAATGCCCCGGTGAGCTGGCGTCGCCTGCCAGACGGACTGGGACTGACACCTGTGTGCTTACGGCGCGCTGGTGTGGGGTCCCCGCATTCGAGTGTACTTTTCGAGAGCGTGCACATTGTTGTATTATGCTGTGGTTGGAAAGGGGTCTTAGGTTTTCAAATCGGCGGCGTAGGCATGCAGGTGCTTCAGACGGTTTAACGATTCAGATTTGGCCACCGAAAACAGATCGGTGACGGTTGTCAATGTCTTGCATTTTACACGGGGGTCATTCGATGGTAATTATTAAGAAAACACAATTATTTTCCATCATGTAAATTGTAGTCTTAACATTGTTGGACGGGGGGGGGGGGGGGCGTCTTCAACTACAGCACCTGACGTGCGAAGCATTACGACGCATTTTTGATTGTGGTGGGGTTTGGGTATTCCTGATCTGGAAAATCGGTGTGTTCGATTGGAACCGGATACATATATATATATATATATATATATATATATATATATATATATATATATATATATATTGCGTGGACATGCGTGCGTGCCTATGCTCTCGGTCTGTTATCGACCTGATTACGTGCGTAGCGCTCCCTTTTACAAAACAAAAACAAAGCAGAAAACGAAACGCCCTAGCGCCAGTGGCGGGGAGCGGAGCCGGACTGGGTTCTCTCGGCACCCGCAGTACTGACGGGGCATCATCGGCTCGCCGGGCCGCGCCGCGTGCTCACAGTCTGCAGAGCTCTAACGCACCGGTGCCTGCCGTGCAGACCAACCGGACGGGGGAGCGGGAGCGGGAGTGGCCGGTTGGCTGGAGGACCTCGTCACCGTCACGGCCTACCCGTACGTATGCAACTGCACCGTCGAAACCGGCTTCACCACGGCGCTCGACATACGCGTCAACCTCACCGGCTGGAGAGGTGAGGGCGCCGGGGGGGCGCGCCGGTCTGGAAGTCAATCTCACTGGCTGGAGAGGTGAGGGCGCCGGGGGGCGCGACGGTCTGGAAGTCAATCTCACCGGCTGGAGAGGTGAGGGCGCCGGGGGGGGGGGGGGGCGCGCCGGTCTGGAAGTCAATCTCACTGGCTGGAGAGGTGAGGGCGCCGGGGGGCGCGACGGTCTGGAAGTCAATCTCACTGGCTGGAGAGGTGAGGGCGCCGGGGGGCGCGACGGTCTGGAAGTCAATCTCACTGGCTGGAGAGGTGAGGGCGCCGGGGGGGCGCGGCGGTCTGGAAGTCAATCTCACCGGCTGGAGAGGTGAGGGCGCCGGGGGGCGCGGCGGTCTGGAAGTCAATCTCACTGGCTGGAGAGGTGAGGGCGCCGGGGAGCGCGGCGGTCTGGAAGTCAATCTCACTGGCTGGAGAGGTGAGGGCGCCGGGGGGCGCGACGGTCTGGAAGTCAATCTCACTGGCTGGAGAGGTGGGGGCGCCGGGGGGCGCGACGGTCTGGAAGTCAATCTCACCGGCTGGAGAGGTGAGGGCGCCGGGGAGGGGGGGGGGCGCGGCGGTCTGGAAGTCAATCTCACTGGCTGGAGAGGTGAGGGCGCCGGGGGGCGCGGCGGTCTGGAAGTCAATCTCACTGGCTGGAGAGGTGAGGGCGCCGGGGAGCGCGGCGGTCTGGAAGTCAATCTCACCGGTTGGAGAGGTGGGGGCGCCGGAGGGCGCGGCGGTCTGGAAGTCAATCTCACCGACTGGAGAGGTGAGGGCGCCGGGGAGGGGGGGGGGGGGGCGCGGCGGTCTGGAAGTCAGTCTCACCGGCCGGAGAGGTGAGGGCGCCGGGGGGCGCGGCGGTCTGGAAGTCAGTCTCGCGGCAGTCATTGCATGGACAGTAAACGAATGTTGGGGAAGCAAAGATTCGACACCATTGCTTAGTATTGCAGATAAGGTCACCTGGCACGTAAGACGCCAGGCATGTACGAGCTTTAGCAGGGACACAGCCATGGCACGGTTATGGCGTGAATAACTCGGATTGACCCCGCTTCATAAACTGAACCGACCAGTAGCATGTTGCAGCTGACCTCGTGAAGTCCAGCCTCAAAACTGCCTGAAGCGATGCATCGTCGTCTTTTTTGTCATGACTTATGCCATGCTCGGAATAAAGTTGTAACTTGGTGGATTGGTAGGAAAGCAGGCGATCTAACCAGATTAGCTACGTACTGGACGGACATTTGTGCTGAGGCTCACGGCATGCAGTGTCGTAGATCTTAGGATAGATACATCGGTGTGTATATTAGTGCGTAATCTCCTCCTGTTAGTTCCAAACACAGCGCAAAAATGAAGCATTTCCTTCAATCGTAGCATAGTGCGCCGACATGTACAGAACACGGGCAATGCCTCTGCCATTGTCACAGTGTTCACGTTGCTTAAGCGAGCCTAGGGGTACGGCAGCAGCTGGAGCAGAGTGTTTCTCCCGGCGCGCGCGTCCCGCTGGCGCGCCGGCCGGGTCGCGGGCCGCCGTCTTCACGCGCCGCCGCTGCCTGCAGCGCTGGGTCTGGTGCTGCTGCGGGGCCTCAACAACATCAGGTGTGTCGAGTTCCGGTTGTCGCCGGCGGCGGCGGGCCACTCGCCTGCCCGGCTGCAGTACGACTGTCCGACCTTCCCGCCCAAGGACCAGGGTACCCGGGTGCAGCTGCAGCTGTGCGCCGGCATGCAGACGGTCAACTACCGCCTGCGGCTGCCCTTCCTCAACAACATCTGTGAGTGTTGGCCGGGCGCTGCTTGGCCGCGCTTGGTCCGATGGAATGTTAGCTCTGGCCCGCATGTGTTGCCAGATGCTGAGCGTGTGTCGTAACTGGTGTGCTATAGATACTTTAGAGCAAAGGCGTTATTTTGCAAAGCCTGCTGTCATCATGTCAATGGAGTGACCGAACCATGTGGGGGTGTGGGGGGGGGGGGGAGGGGATGGGGGAGGGGAGGGCATGCCGCCGACAACTGGACCTGTGATATCGGGGCCTGAGCGCTGGTGTTTGCTGTTCGCTGGATTTGGCAGCCTTGTCAGACTACCGAATTACCGGTTGCACTGCAGCAGCACCTTCTGCTTTGGGAGGCCGCGTGTCCGCTGCACCACAGCACCTCCCTCTGGCAGACCTTGTGCCGTCCCTGCAGCGACACCTTCTGCTCTGAAAGACAGCGTGTCCTGCTATACCATAGCACCTCCCTCTGGCAGATATTGTGTTGTCCCTGCAGCGGCCCCTCCTGCTCGGGAAGACCACGTGTCTGCTGTATCAAAGCACCTCCCTCTGGCAGACTGTGTGTGGTCCCTGCAACGGCACCTTCTCCTCTGGAAGACCACGTGTCCGCTGTACTATAATACCTCTCTATGACAGACCGTTTGTGCTCCCAGCAACGGCACCTTCTGTTCTGGAAAACCACGTGTCCGATGGACGGCGGCGCCGTGTCCTGTGACAGTCTGTCTCAGTTGCCACAGTTGCAGCTTGCCACAGTTCCTCGTGGCAAGCTGCTTTCTGCTCGGTGATACTATCCTCAGACATATCTTGTGTCCCAAACACAGCAAGGTCTTCTCCTGTGAGACAGTGTGTCCTGATCACAGCAATGATTTATCCTGTTACAGGCTGTGTGTCCTGATCACAGCAATGATTTATCCTGTGACAGACTGTTTGTCCTGATCACAACAATGATTTTTCCTGCAACGGACTGTTTCTTCTGATCACAGCAACACAATTTCCTGTGGCAGACTGTGTCCTGGTCATCTGATGCTGTAACAGACTATGTCCTGATCACGAGAATGCTTTTTCTGTAACAGTCTGTGTGTCCTGATCACAGCAACACTTTCTCCTGTGCAGCGTTATATGACCCTTTTCCATTGGCATGTTCTGGTTCTGTATGGCGGACGGTGCGCCCTCAGGCGCCGTGTGTGCAGTGGATCACGTGCGCAACATCACCCTTCCCTCCCACAGAGTGTACGCCCTTTCTGCGACAGCACCTGTCCTCCGTGCATCTCCGCCGACAAGCCGTGTGGCCGCGCGGCTTTTTGGTTTGTGACGCGCGATACCCGCCCACTCCGTTCTCTGAGCGGCAGCTGGTGGCCGGCTGACCGTCGTCGCCTCCGCAGCGGAGCCGGCGCTCGCCTCCTGGGAGCCGCTGGTGCTGGTGCACATGCACCGCTGGGACCGGCTGGTGTTCAGCGTGCAGCGGGCGCCGCCGACGCTCTGCGTGCGCCGCTACTCTCTGCAGCTGGTGCTGTGCGAGCGGGCCGACTGCCAGGCGCACCGGCCCATCGTCGGCACCGAGCTGCAGCGCGAGGTGAGGCCCGCCGCCGACCCGGGGCGACGCCCTGTCATGTCAGGGTCAGGGTGATGTCAGGTCAGGACCGGAGCGGTGTCACTGGGCGCCGTCAGGCCAGGTCAGGACGGGAGCGATGTCAGGTTAGGACCGGAGCGGTGTCAGGTCAGGAACGGAGCGGTGTCACTGGGCGCCGTCAGGCCAGGTCAGGACGGGAGCGACGTCAGGTTAGGACCGGAGCGGTGTCAGGTCAGGACGGGAGCGATGTCAGGTTCGGACCGGAGCGGTGTCAGGTCAAGACGGGAGCGATGTCAGGTTAGCACCGCAGCGGTGTCAGGTCAGGAACGGAGCGGTGTCACCGGGCGCCATGAGGTCTGGGCCGGACCGGCCAGTGGAGTTGGGCTGGGAGATAGATGGCCAAGGTTCGCGGCATACCATTTTGGCTCCGCGGATGCTGGTGTGTGAGCCTTCTCCAGGAACAGGACTAGAGTATTGGTAGGTGATGTTGCTAGCTCGGTAGGCTGTGGGACATTGGCGCACTATAACCGTAAAATTGCAAGCACGTGTGTGTGTTTGGCGTTTGGCGTTTTTAGCGTTGCCCTGCAGTACAGCGGACCGTTTTGACTATCATACGTGCTGCATTCACTGCAGGAACGACATGGTATGTGCAGAGCACGTATCTACCGCATATTCATTTGATTAGTTACCACCCACGTAGACGATTTAGATTTAATCTTCGATTATTCAATTCAGTGTCAAGTTTCCTGACGCTTCCAAGTTTTAGCCAAGCTTGCAGACGGACCGTCGATACCTGTGCGTCGCGCCCATCACCGGCTCTGTAGTGCGTAGTAGATGCCTGTAGTACATGTCAGCCAATTGCCGCACGTGCCTGGCCGGCAGGAAGACTGTTCGAAGAGTGGGACGGACGCTGGCAGCTTCCGCGTGGAGTACGAGCTGCCGTCGGTCGGTGGCAACATCTCGCTGCTGGTGGTGCCCGAGGGCGGCCGGCCCACCCTGTCAGCGGCCATCGACTACGGTGGGCGGCCACACGGCTCCGGGTCCGCTTCCCGTCTCGCCTGCTGTCGTGCTCTTAGCGCGAACAGCAGCATTGTGTTGATTTGGCCAGGTGCCTGCAGCCGAGCTCTCCGACTGGCACCGCCCCGGTGGTGTGTGGAGGAGATGTGCTGGTGCCCGCCGCGCGCCGGGCCGGACCTTGCAGCCGAGCCCTCCTGCCACTGCTCTGGTGGCGTGTGTCGGAGATGTGTTGGTGCCCGCCGCGCGCCGGGCCGGACTTTGCAGCCGAGCCCTCCGACTGGCACTGCCCCGGTGGTGTGTGTCGGAGATGTGCTGGTGCCCGCCGCGCGCCGGCCGGACCGTCGCACTGTGCAGCCGTGCGCTCCGTCGCCTGACCTGCACCCCCCGGCTGCCACCAGCGACTCCGGACACGCTGTACATAGTGGCTGTGGTCATCCTGATCACCGTACTCCTGCTGGTTGTCGCCGTCGTCGTCTGGATCAAGTACTTCCGCAAACGTAGGTTCTCGCGCGCTGGTGTTGCCTGGAGACGGTCGGGTTGCACCCCGTAGTTGTGTTTGAGGCTGCAGCTGTGACTGATACACGTAGTCGCTGTGTGGTCAGGCTACTGGAGGGGGCTTGGCCAGGCCGGCGTAATCTGGACACATGTCAGCTTTTGGGAGATTCGCTACATTTTAATTTGCGTAATGCTTTGCGTTAAGCGCCAAGCACTGCACCGCTTCTAGATTAGCGATAGCAGCCGGGCGCGGTGGGACTAAGCCCTTTAAAACATGGGTCCGTTAGCTCGCAATGACTGTCAGTGGTTGCGCGCCCCAAATCTTCGCCCGCGGTTCTGGTTGTGTGCCCTGCTACTCACGAATAGGAGGCGGCTCGTTGGTCGCCTCGCGCGTACCAGCTGGTGCGTGTTATGATGCAATCCGCCAACGCTGTGTTAAAATTTCTGGCGATGCTTTTGTGAGGCTATGCCGAACAGTGTGCGAGATATATGTTCAGCATTCTCCCATCATGGAGTGCCTATGACATGCCTCGATCAAAGCAACTTGGTAGTGGAAGACTGGTAAATGCCGTTTCAGGCACAGTACCCAAATGCCTGGACGTGCTGGTGGTGTACAACCGCAACACGAATCTGGTCCGGCTGTTGGCGTCCGGCCTGGAAAAGTACTGTCTGGTGAAGCCAAAGATGGACATTGTCGACATCCCGCGAGCGGACGCCGGAATGGTGAGCCCAGGATCCCCACGCCCCCGCCGCGCTCCCCTTCCTCACCTGCCAGCTGGTGTTCCAGTGGACCTGGCAGAGTCAGGTCACGAGCATGGAAAGCAGTCAATGCGCGGATCGGGCCGGTTTTGCGAACCTCTGTCTGGGTGGCCATGTGATGGCACTGGCGTATCTACGGCACCGCAACTGCCTCCCGTGAGGGAAGCCACGGGCCATAGCAGGGATAGTAAACATAAGTTTCATGGTGTGTATCAACTTTGGTCCAAAAACAGGAGGGTCATTTCACCGTTGGGTCTTTCTCGGTGCCAGTTTTGCGAAATAAAAACATTTAACAAGCTGACAGATTATGAGCATGCACTTTTAATTGGTCCAGAATAATTTCATTGAAAAGAAGCTTGGGCTCTGAACAATACTAAGCCACGATACAGAAGCGATAAACGAACGTGGACATGGCATGTGATGGCTCCACGCTAAGCAGTTGACCGACACGAGGCAGATGGCCTTGGAGACGAATACAGGGCGAAGGGTGGACACTATGGTGAGGATGGCGCAAGCTGTCACGATGGAACACGTCCGCTTAGGTCTGGTTTGTGGTGATGAATGGCCATTCATTTGGCAATTTTTAGCGCAGCCATATCTTCGCAAATGCGAAAATTTCCAGAGTGGATTTTCGGGTGAAATGAATTACGTTTGACTTTTGTCAAATGTGGCCCCGAGTGGGGTTCCAAAAGCTTTGTTTTTCAAGTCGTGGAGATGTTCATTGTATCGAGTTGGCACAGGACGTGCGGTAATCCGCCTGGTAGGCGTGACACGTACAGTTATCCGCGGGGCATGAGGGGGGTCAAGCCGAGCTTTAGCTTCCGCCCACTTCTCCGGGCCACCCGAATGGAGAAGACCGATGAACTTGCTTTGCCCATTGTATTATGTACGATGATACTGATCATTATTGTTCCTTCCATAGTCTTGATTTCCCAGTTTGGCTCGATCCATTGGAGCTTCCGGTCATATGTATCAGCTGCTGGTATTGCCGGATGTCTCATAGCGGCGGGCCAACGACTGGTGGAATGTCCGCGCAGGCAGCTGGGCGGAAGGGTGATGTCGCTATAGCCCATACCAATACGCGCACCCAAACACATATACGCACTCATAATGCATAACGTCTACATGGCATATATAAATACAGCAAGCCACAGCTTGTTGCACAATCGGTGCATGCCTACGACGCCGGAGGTAGACTGTGCCTGTAATAGGGCGGATCCGGGTTTGTAAGAGAGGGACGTGAAGATGTGCACGAGAGTAGATTGCGTAAGATGGATAAATTTTTGAGGAAGGTCCTCATTATTGTATGAGGATGCTTACTCCAGGGAATAAGACAGTCCGGTAGGCATTGAACCCCTGAGTGCGGGCTGTCACGTTACATGGGTGTTCCGTGTTATGTGGCGGATTTCGTGGCTGGCGGCATCGAAAGTCGATAAATGGTCTCTGTAGGCCGCGTCCTTCGGTGCACCCGTGGCTGCCGACGCCCAAACACGCTTTAAAAAGTCACGAGGCGGGCGGTACACGGCTTTAATGTATAAAAGCTGTGCCAGTTCGTGGCTAGATCCATGAGGCGGTGCTTGGGCTAGCGAGTTTCCCCGCTGCCCGAGCCGTCTGTTCCCACCGCCGTCCCGACACAGTCGACTCTTGGAGCGGTGTCTGTGGGTGGCTGACGACCGTCCCACCTCAGGACCCGGCGGAGTGGCTGACGACGGAGCTGAAGCGCTGTCGGCATGTGTTGGTGCTGGTGTTCCCCGATACGACGGCGCCGCCCATCTACCCTCGCCTCTTCTCGATGGCGCTTCACCACCTCAAGATGGACGCCGGCAGGAAGACGGTACGCGGCGCTCCCACCGGCCGAGTGGCATGCTGGTTGGCGTGGTGTGCGGGTTTGATAGTCACCCGCCTTTTGCGGCAGCGTGTCGACAGCCTACTTGCCTGGTACAGACGAGGCTGGATTGGTAGCTGACTGTTGTTTTGCTGCTGGGCCTCTGGCTCACGATAGATGCTACTCAGTCGTGAAGGGTGTAGATCCCATGCGCCGCGTTTTCTCCCCAGTCACGCTTCATTCTGCATGCCCACAGCACCTGTTCTCTCTGGGGCAAGCTGCATGCGCCAGCCTTGAGCAGGCTTCAGTGCCCCCCCCCCCCCCTCTCCCCCTGGCGGGAGCTCCACCTCAATCCCCGAAGTAGGAGGTCTGGCGCCGGTTGAGCTTCAGTAGCCCAGGACTCCCAGATGCATGTTGTCGTCCCCTATCACCCTCCATCCTCTTCCATTCCACAGTTCCGGGATGAGCATTGCTAGCTGAAGAGCTGCTAACCAAGACCAAACTAAACCGAAAGAAATCTTGTGAGCATTTTTCCCCTGATTTAGCTTGTATTTGTAAACGGACTGAGACATGATTGGTTAAAGTGCATAATTGTGACACGTTGCTGTCTGCGGCACATGGCGAGTCATCATTACACATCAGACGCCGCCATTACCGGGGCACTCAGCGCGGGTGACTTTCCCGGTTTTCTGTGAACAGAAGCTCGTTTGCATGGTCACATGCTTAGCATGATTTGGCATGGCCACATGTTCACAAGTTTAGCTTAAAGAAGTCGGGGGTGGCCAGAGCGTGGATCATATCGTTGATCACTCCGGAGTCGGTGAAGGGCCGACGGCCATCAGCCACCATGAAGGTTAACCGGCTGGCGGGTTCTGTGTGAAATGTTGGCTTTTTTCACCACAATCTTGGCGGATTTCTGATGTCATTTTCTCGTGGATGTTTACCTATTCGGTGCATTATACGGTACGGCAACCTGCAGAGAAGGGGAAAAGCGTCCGCTGCTATCTAAAGAATCATGTCCAAATTTCCTCGGATAGCAACGAATGATTTGGTATAGCATAGACCACACTTGGGGGACAAAAATCGTAATAATTTCAAAGTGGAGGCGAGTACGAGGAGAGGGGTTGAGGTAAGCATTCCGCAGGTATTTGTAATCATTCACTGTTGCTGGTGGATGTGGTCCGATTTTCATGCAGTTGAAATGGTTTAATAGGTACTGCACGTCTGCTGCACAGGTTTTGAGCTCATTTGAAAACTAGAAAAATCCTAGACATCTACAGAAGTTGCCGTGGGCGAAGTCACAGAGGCAGGCATGGGCTGGGTACGGACCTAAGCAATTTTCACAAGATTGTTATGCATCTCAATTTTGAGTTGAACAGTGGCATTGGCCTTCACTCTAGCTTCCACTGTGGCGATCCATGAATAGCTATGAAGGAATAATATACATATACTTAACGCATGACGCCACGCCTATCTCTCGTGTCCACCAGCTGGTAAAACAATCTAAGAGCACATAGGTTTTCATCTTGAGGGCTGGGTCGGGTAAATTGGTGCCACGGGTGTCTAGCGATACAGGAATGATGGCTCCAAGGCTGAGTATACCAAGAAAGCAGCTTAAAAACGTTTGCAAAATTTGCAGTGAATAAACAGGATGGCCAATTAATGTCCGCATAATTTCTTTGCGTTTTGTATTCTGTCGATGGACCAAGACATTTTGCACTGCAGTGAGCTACCCGAACCCTTTGGGCTGCGTCGTTGTCGTTGTGGCCAGGGATAGCCGCCGCCGTACCATGCTGCCTCGGACGGCGCGGCCGACACTGTACCGGCGTCGCGGTGCCTCAGGAAGCTCGTCTGTCACCTGGCTGACTGCGCACCGCTGACGATGTACCCCACCGATGCGGATCGTGTCGTCTTTAGCCGACTCGCTGTTCGGTTCCCGCTGACTGGTCCTCTGACCTGCCCTGTCGGTGTCGGTCGACTGACTGTCCCCTGCCGTGCCGCGTCAGGTGGCGGTGGGGTACGCAGGTGGCGAGAACTGCCCGGCGCTGCCCGACCTGCCCGGTGCCGTCCGCTGCCGACTGCCCGACCAGCTAGACCGGCTGGTGTGTGCTGTGCGCGGCGCGCCGCGGCTCGGCCGACGCCGCTGGAACGCGGCGCAGCTGGCGCGTCGCCTGCGCCACTCGGCCGATGGCCGCCAGTTGGTGGAGCTGCTGCTCGCACCCGACCAGGCGCCGCCTCTGGAGCCGCCGCCGCCGGTGGCCGGCTCGCCGTCGCCGCCCTCGACGCCGCTGCTGCCGCTGCAGAGGCCCCCCGAGCGGCGCGACTATGAGTTCGCCAACCACGTGCCCTCGGTAGACGAGCTGTTGGAGAATGGTGGCCCGCGCCTGCCGCTCGGTCCACCCGGCCGCCACGCCGCGGCCGCCGCCGACCAGGACGACGACGATATTCAGTGGCACTAGCCCGGGGCCGTGTGTCGAAGGGCGTGACGGCTTTGCGGCAGGCCGGGCGCCGCAGCGGTCTGCCGGACGGCGCCGACGGCGCCGTCCGCGGGGCTCGGGCTCAGCCCGGGCGGCCGCGGCAGGTACTCTGCTCAAACGAGTAGCGGTCTGGCGGACGGCGCCGTCTGCGGGGCTCGGGCTCGGCCCGGGCGGCCGCGACAGGCACTCTGCTCAAACGAGCAGCGGTCTGGCGGACGGCGCCGTCCGCGGGACTCGGGCTCGGCCCGGGCGGCCGTGGCAGGTACTCTGCTCAAACGAGCAGCGGTCTGGCGGGCGAGTGTGGCCCAGGGAGAGGCTGGCACGTACGGGGCTCGCCGGGCTTCCGTCCACAGGAGACGACTGGCGCGGGTCGGTAGCAGGTGCGATCGCGACATCGGCGCCGTTCGGATGCCGGTGACCGCGTGGGTAATCGCATACATATTTTTGGACCGCTGGGGACATACACTGCAGGATGGCAAGCGTGTATCTTATTAAGCATGTGTCTGAGTTTATACTCGCGGACAAATGACAGGCATGTGTGAATGCTGCAGTTTTCGGGCTAAGGTGGGGGGGGGGGGGCTCAGGTATGCTTAACCTCCGCGACGAAGGCTCGTCGGACGGGGCGCGGGTGTGCTCTGCTATTTGCCTCACCATGCTGCGCTGCTCCTCTGGTCATAATTGTGTGTCAAGGTGTTGTGATTGGAGGTCACGGGGGGCCATGGGCTAAGTAAGAAGCAGCACGCATGTCCCATTTGTAAGTCATCGGCCGCGATGACCGATGAACTATTGAGTCCATAGCAGCCCCCCTGAGCGAGGCGGTTGTCTAAACGTAGGTTCATAGCGAGGGCATACAGATGTCATTAATGGTCTCAGCAACGCGTGATAACTCGGCTAACACCGTTGTCATGTTAAAATGCTTTGCAGCGATGGGTAAGTGAACTGTGCGTTGTAAGCTCGTGTTGGCCGTGGTCAGCAACCTGCCGGCTGGCTTTTGTGTTTGTCTCGCGCCAGTGCTTAGCGTCGTCGGCCATTACAACAGCTGCCCCGTCCCTAAGTCACCGCGCCCACCGCTTTTCGTGTTTACAGTACGTCAGTGTTGCGCTTCCTGTTAATTGCCAACTCAGTGTATCATCATCTTAAAATAAGTGAGCGTGCTGCATGGGTCAAGCGGGGCGACACGCCGGGAATGTCCGTCTTTCAGGAGAGCTTTGCGGGCATAGGTTCACGAATGCGGGTTTTCGCTGTAGTTTTTAAATCGCGTTTCTTCAGCATTATTTACGGGCCATGGGCTTGACCTGGTATGTCAGGAAGGTCAGGAAATGCATGACTGAAGAGGGGTGGTTTTCTCTGCTGGTGACAGGGAAGTAGCTTCAAAAGCAGGTATCGGCTGGCCTAGCGAGGTCGAGCCAGTCATGCGTTTTCGATTACTGGTCAACGTATTGCGAACGGCATAGATAGTTGGAACGGACATTGGTCACAGTAAGCTGCACCACATTTCTGTGTACACAATTTCCATAAGCCAGTGTTGGGCGGTTTAAGGTGCAGCCTTTTGTATTTGAGACTGGTTTCGAAATGGGGGTATTGCCCGTTCGCTGCTAGGTTGCTGGCGTACCTGAGCAGTACCTGAGGTTTAATGTGGAAATCGCTGAACGATTTTTAGAAGGCACTTGCTCATATCGCACGGCTAGTTCCAGATTTCTATCAGCTTTAGTTGACGTGAATCCTTAAAGCGGGTCCAAGGTTTATGCCCTTGCCCGTGTGGCAGACCACATACTGAGACACAACTCGCGCCCCACCTTGCGTTCGGGCCGACGCCAGTTTTAAGCAGACGCATGATGGGTCCTCTGTCGGCACCGACCCAGTGTCGCCAATACCAGCGCGCAACGGCTGTGCTGCCAGCGGTGCAAGTCTTGCATCGCTCCGGCGTCAGGTTGTCCACATCGGTGCCCGTTGTTAATCGGTGTTGTGGACTTGTATTGCAATGATAAAAATTGAAGAAAAGATGTGAAGGTCTGGCCAGGCCGTTGTGGTAGAAAGCATCCTTCCCCCTGAGCAAGGCTGGCGGCCTTACCCGAAACGGTCCCATTTCTCGCGCCCCTTTAGATTCTGCCCCATGAAAATGAATGCATTGCGTAGTCACGGGGATTTTACATGCTTTGATATGAACGCTGCTTGGAACTGGCGGCCATCCGTGACGTGGAGCGTGGCCGTGTGTGATGTAGGGTGTAACTCGACAGTGCGTGTTTTCACAGGTCGTGTGATCAGCGGGCCGGTGTTGAAGCGCTTTGTATCGTAGTGGTTTCATGAAGAGAGAGGGGAGGGGGGGGGGTATTAGTTACCCGTGCGTCCATGTCTGCGCTTTTTGTCCTTTTGTGTTATTGTTCTGCACTACCCGCCACTTTTCGTATTCCTTGTATTCGGTGTCACTTTGTGAGATTTCATGTCGTCAGGCACACGTCCGCAGTGTGGACCTTTACGTTCTCACCTACGATCACTGTATCCTAGATATATTAATTCGCTATATCCAGTGTC